ACACACACACACACACACACACACACACACACACACACACACACACACACACGTTCTGTGTTGGAGGACTGCCAGTGAGGTTGTAAGAACATGTGGGATGATATGTACATATTGATGCAGCTCTTGCCAATCCGACATGTTGTTGTCCCTGATTTCAAGTTACCCTGTACAGAAGATTTTACAGATCACTTTACTGGTGGGAAGTTGTAAGTGTCTTGTATCTAAACTAGAAAATTGGCCACAGAAAGCTCACTAGTAAACTCATAGGTCCCTTCCACTTAGTTGGGATAGTTGATTAGTTTTGAATATTACGGACATTCTCTGTTTATAGAGGTAAAATACTTATGTCTGGTTAGAATATTGACTGATGAAGACCAATGCGATGGTCAGCATTTTGTGGGAATGTACTAGCAGTGTTTTCACTGAGCAATGTCAATGGGTTTTAATCTTGCCGATTAGTTTAAAAGAAGGCTGACAGACTACAGCTGGTGTGCCGATTTCAGCCAGCCCTGTCATTTATTGGAACACTCGTGTCTGTATTGTCTGTGATTGCTTTTGTGTAGCTGGCTGACTTGAGTATTTATAAGAGAAACTATTTTGCTACCAAAGCAAAATTGCTCTCTAGCCCTTGGAAGCTTTCAGATCCTTCCTTGTTGTAGAAAATCAACCAGATACAGTCAGTCTGACATTGCTCCTGTTTGAAACTGTGGTCTTTCCCGGAGTATGTGTTTAACAAACAAGAGCTAGCATAGGTGCTAGAAATAGAAACAACTTAATGCCTGTCATCAGAACCACTCACATGTTGATAGCAAGTCAGAAAACCCCAGGTCTACATAACACAGTGTCTTGACTAGATCTGTTTTACAGCTGAGCATATATTTCTCATGGATTTTACAGAGAGGGCACCTAGAAGGCTGGCACTGATAAGGTTCTTGGAAACAGGCAAAATTAGCAAGGTGAAAAATGGTAAAAATCATTTAGACATAGGGAAAAGTATGAACAGAGGTGTGAGGACCAGTTTTCCACTTCAGGACCACAGGGATTCATAGCTGGAAAGTGGGAAAGAACCAGAGTAAGGAGAGGTGGAACTGACTAATAATGTAAGCTACAGAGGCAGGAAAAACCTTAAAAGCCAGGGGACTAGCAGAATGGCTCAGCAGTTAGAGCAGGTGCTGCTCTCACTGAGGACTCTAGTTCAGTTTCTAGCACCGGTGTCTGACTGGGAGCAACCACCAGGAACTCCAGCTCTGGGGGAATAATTTAAATGTTCTTAAAATTGTCAAATCAAAGTCTCTTAAAAATTGTAAAAGATTTGAGAGCTCCTTAGGGAATGGAACTGTGAAACTGTTAGCTGTGAAATGGTTCAAGAACCCAAAGGGCTTTGGCCCGGCAAACCAGTTGACTGGGGAAGCAGTGCCATTTTCCTAAGATGCCAAGTGCATTTGGAGGGCTGGACTTACAGAAACATGTGGAGGCCCACATAGTGCCATTTTCCTAAGATGCCAAGTGCATTTGGAGGGCTGGACTTACAGAAACATGTGGAGGCCCACGGAGGTTTCCTAGTGAGATCTGAGCTTGCTTTACCCAGCAGGGCTGCATTAGAGGATTTCTTGACCATGCGCATGGTTACCAGGTGTTTGGAAGGGTCTGCACTTGGTTGTGCAGTATCCTTTGATCTAGCAAGGGGAGGTCTTTTGCCTTGTCCCTTGGCATTCCTTTAAAAAGCCCTTTAGAAGAGACAGAAGAGTTCAGTGGATAAGGATCCAGGCCCTCCTGAGCTATTCTGTGTTTCTATCTGTTTCTCTCCTCTCTATCTTTCTATCTAAATATTTCTCACTTCTCCCTCAAGAGTACCTTGGTGGTAAAAGTGAGAGTGGGTCCCCGCAGAAACAAAAATAGATTCCATCATAGGAAATTTTGAATTTGCAGCATCTAATGAAAATCAAGTGAGCCATTGGCTTTGGAAGTCTGAACTCAGGAAAAGGGGGCATTCAGTAAAATGGTATTTGAAGCCCTGGGTAAAACTGCAGGCTCCCAAAAAGCAGGGAACAACACCTAAGAGCATAGGCCAGACTGTAAACCCAGCCACTCAGTAGGATGCCAAGTTTAAAGCCTGTCTGGGCTACAGACTGAGTTCAAGACCAGCCTGTACAACTTAATGAGGACCTGTCTCAAAAAGTAAAGGGGACTGGAAAGATGGCTCAGCAGTTGGCTTAGTTACTTTTTGTCACTGTGATAAAATACTATAACAAAGGCAACTTACAGAAGAAAGGTATTTTGAATTATGGTTTTGGGGTCTGTAATGACAGGGACAGCATGGTAGTGGACAGACAGAGCAAGAAGCTGAGAGATCAAACTTGGAAGTAGGGCTAGGCTGTGATCTTGGAGCCTGCCCTGAGTGACATACTTCCTCCAGCAAGGCTATACGACCTCACCCCGAAATTGCCACCAACTAGGCAAATTTCAAATACCCAAGTTTATAGCGGACATTTCTCATTCAAACCACACCAGTGGCCAAGACACACGCTACTCTGCCAGAGAACCCAAGTGACCCAAGTGTGGTTCTCAGCACCCACATCTGGCAGCTCACAACATCTGTAACTCTAGCCCCAGGAAATTACCTTCTAGCCACAATAGGCATCCACACAGAAACACAAATGCATGCATATAAAAATAAATTTTAAAACAATTCAGTGAATATAGTATTTTCATGGTACTCAGGATAGAACTCAGACCTTGAATTCCTAACACAATCTGTTTAGAGTATTGTTTGCTTGCTTTACCAGTGCAGAAATTGAAGTTTAAGCTAGCTTCCTCGGGATCGCACATCTGGTAAATGGTGGAGCTGATTCCTCAAACCAAAAGTTTGGTTTGTGGGGGTCTCCTTTCTCTGCTTCACTGGTCCCATTCCTGTCACCCACCCCACCGTAGGGATGTGTTTGCAGATAAGTTAATGCTTTTTCCATCAATCCATATAAATAGGTACTAAATCCTTAAAATGAAATAAGAATTTTTCCCTTCTAAGAAAATTCCTTTTTAATAAGCTACTGGATATTAATAAGAGATGTGTAACATGCATATCATTCAAGTTATATTTTGTATTTTTTGTTAATCCACATTTTCACTGAAGTAGAAGATGTCAGATCCAGTGGTATGGTGCATGCCTGTAAACTTAGCAAAGTAACAGCAATACACCAAATATATAAAGCTGTAGAGTTCAAAAGTACTTAAGAATTTGTCTCCAGATGAAACATAACAGCAGCTTGTCTCCCTTGTGTTCAATGTTGACAACCCTGTGTTCTCCTTTTAGGAAGTTTCATGTAAACCTGGAACTGTGTTTTATTCCTTGTTCTCATTTTCAGGTGTCTGCTCTTGGGGCTGAGTTTTCGTCAGAGGCATGCAGAGAGTTGGGTTTCTCCAGCAACTTACTCTGCAGCTCTTGTGATCTTCTTGGACAGTTTAACCTGCTTCAGCTGGATCCTGCTTGCAGAGGGTGCTGCCAGGAAGAAGCTCAATTTGAAACCAAAAAGGTACCGTTTTCTGTTGTATCCCTTCCTTCCAATGCTCTAGTTGAGAGAGACAAAGTACAGATTACTTAATCAGTTTAAGCAGGAGTTTCTGGCTTTACAAATTTTAGTAAAACTCAGTCAATTGCTTGCCTGGTCTACTAGATCAATCAAAGGAGAAGTGTGCTTCCATACCAGGATCCATTCCACTGTGGCTGTCCATCAAAGGCAGGGGAAGGCAGGACACACACCACAGCATCACCATAGCACGCCTGTGTCCCATCGTGAGCCAGTCTTTCTTATCTCTGACCAAATTAAAGCAAGGACCAATTAATTCCACTTTGGTTTCTATGTAATAATAAGCCAGTTGTACAAAGAAATCTGAGACGGTAGCATAGTGTATAATGTTGGGCACAAATGTGGTCAACTTACATACCATTACTGGAAATTCCAGAGACCCATAACCTTACGTTTCCTATCTGAGAAGTCAGTCAGGGTAAGTAGCTCTGCCCCACAGAATGTGTTGTTTGGAACCCACTGTTCAAGTAAGTGTCAGGGTGTTTTGTTTGGATGGGTGGATGGGTTGGCTGTTTGAAGACAGTCTCACTGTAGAACTTGCCATGGTGCCATGTAGCCCAAGACGGACTTAATTAAACTCATTACCCTCTTGCCTCAGCCCCCTTGCTGCTGAGATTACAGGTGTGCACCACTATGCCTAGCTTGAACTTGCTTGGTCTTTGTTTTTCAGTAACACCTTCAGATTTTTCTTCCGTGTTGTGAAGTGCCTTAGTGTTTGTATATCCAAATAAAAGTGACTGGGGGGCTGAGGTGTAGCTCAGTAACAGTGTTCACCTAGTATGTACAAGGCTGTCTTCAATCCTCCCACCAACACACGACAGGTTGTACTGAAGTGACTTAGTGGGATTTCAAAAAACAGTTTCCCGTTTCTTTGTTGAGTTCCCTTTTCTTACTCTTTCACTTGCCCCTGCTGAACTGCTGGAGGTGTTTCTATTTGTAAAACTTTCAAATAGTAATGCTTTCTTGCTGGGCGGTTGTGGCGCATGCCTTTAATCCCAGCATTCGGCAGGGAGAGGCAGGCAGATCTTTGTGAGTTCAAGGCCAGCCTGGTCTACAGAACGAGATCCAGGACAGGCGCAAAGCTACACAGAGAAACCCTGTATGGGCGGGGGAGGCGGGGATGCTTAGTAATGCTTTCTTGTGACTAGATAAAGTTTTTTTCTAATACTAAGTACATATTTATTTATAGTTTAGAGGAAAAACAAAGCAGCGTGTTATTAAAATATATTTGTGATAGCCAGATTTAACACTTGATCCCTCAGTCTGATGGCCTGAGGTTCCCAAGTGAACCTACAGAGTCCAGCGTGCTCTCTGCTTTCTTGGCTGGATTAAACCCACAGTGTGTTCTGTGTTTAGATTCCATACAAGGAAGGTAGTCCATATATATGTAAAAAGTTAAGCAACAAGTTTTTTAAAGCTTGACTTGATTTAAAGAGGTTTAAGACCAGATTTAGCTGGTTTGCCATGACTCCCCTCTGCCTTTCTAGTGAGATACTCACATGGGACAGATTGCTGAAGGACTCTGTGAATCATCTCATCATCATCCCCTGGCTGTGCCATTACCAGCCGGAAAAGATGCTCAAATACCCCAGACTTAGAAAGCTGGGATAAGAAGGGGCAGTTGCATTAACAATGTTTATCTCACAAGCCCCTATGTAATTGAGAGTGAATTGAGAGAGTCTGCCCTTCCATTGATATAAATATGCCTAAAATATAAATAGTACTAGAAGAGCTGTCCCTACCTATTGCTTTTTGTCAGTGCTCCTCACAATACCCATTTTTAATACTGTTTTTGTGAAACCAAATTTGGATCACATTCCTCTAAATTTAAGTATATCGCTGTTTTTTTTTGTTACTAGTTGAACCATGTGTTGTATTTGGCGGTTTTCAGCTGTTACAGCTTAGCAATACCAGAGGCAAAGAGTCTGCCAGTTAATATTTGCTAATTGTGGCTAATGTGTTTAATATAGCCAAGTACAAGTAGTCTGTGTCCTAAGAGCCTTTGTACCGAGTCTAATGCTTTCTTTGCTGCCAGCCCTAATCACTAAGATACATTTCCCATTGGACATTTTCTAGCGCCTTTCATACAATGAAGGGATGGTTTTTATAGGCGTAGTAGAAACAAACCAGACAAAAAGTATTAGAAGTATGACTGGAGACAGGAAAGCAGTGTGTGAGCAAGCCCCTTAGACTCGCTCCACAGTCCAGTGGAGAGCAGCGAGTGCCGCAGGAAGCAGGCAACTCACTTTGTGGAATAAATGCTCCTGTCTCATTCGACTCAGGCCTGCACTTAGCTTTTAAGTCATTGTTAAATTTGATATTCATTTAACAAAACTTAAATTTTCACATAACATTAGCTCTGCTAGAAGATTGTTTATTTGCAAAATGTTTTAGTTGTTTGTTTTGAGGTAGGGTCTAGCTATGTGTTCTGACCGGCATGAAATACCTGTGTTGCTTTTCCTGTTGTGGTGGCAAAACACCTTGACAAAGGCAGCTTCAGGAAGAAAGGGCTTGTGTTGGCTCACATGCCAGTGACAGCCACTCACGGCGGCACGGGAGTCAAGGCAGCAGGAGTGTGAAGTGGCTGGTCACCTTGTGTCCCCAGTCAGGAGGAGGAGAACAATGAACCACAGCGCTCCGCTCACTCTCTTGCTCTTATTCAGTCCAGGACTGCACTCCAGTCCATGGAATGATGCGACCTACTTATAGACTGGATTGTCTCACCTCCCATAACCACACGTAATCAAAGCTGTCCCCTAGGCATGATTAAAAGCCTGTCTCCCTAAGGAGTCTACATCCTACTAAGCTGACAGGTAACATTGACCATCATACTCCCTACATAGATCAAGCTGGCCTTGAACTCATAACCATCCTCCTTTTTCTTCCTCCCTAATGTTAGGATGATGTGCACCACATCTGGCTAGTTCGTCTTTCTTTTATAATATAGTTTAAAATGTTGCTAGAGCATTCCTTTTGGCTCTTTTAGTTTTATGTGTTGATCTATCCACAGATGAGGCCAATTGTTTTCAGTAATGGTCAAAATTTTTTGTTTAAAAACAATCATGAAAGCATATAAAATCTTGAAATTCTTTGAAATTTATTTTATTAGTTATGGCTGCATTTTTCTTTGTCTTTGGTCTACTCCAATGCATTTTGATCCTAAAGGACCTACTAATTTTCTCAGCTATTATTTAGAATGAGTATTTTGTTAAGCCGTTTTATTACTGTCTTAAGTAGCTTTAAAAGCTTACAAGTATGGTTTTCAAACACTGGTCAGGAGATTAACTTAACTGTGGAAACATACTAATTTGTAGCTTAAAGAAAAAATGTAAACTACTAAAAGAAAAGTTAAGTTTTCAGTGGAGTTTTGTGCAACTAGTATTTACTAAGAGCACAAATGACTTGAGCTTTACATAGAGACTCTTAAGGTGAAAGGGAAGGTATTAAAAATCTGCCCTTTCCCACTGACTAGAGATCTCCTATTGATGTTTTATTTGAACCTCCTTGGCCAGTAGTCTTAGCTGCCTGGTAAGACAGGAGTGAGGTTTTTAGTCCTGGACTCCACAGTTGAGCAGTAGCCGGGGCTGGGGATGTCAGCTAGAAATTATGTGGCGTTGCTCTCCTTTGTCCTCACCTTTACATGTTAGTTCTGTTGGTTTTAGCTTCACTAGTAACTTCCTTTGACTCAGGAAAGCACAGTAACTAATGTCCACTCGTGAGTTTGGCGCCTACAACACCTTCCACTAGAAACATAATTCTTCTGTATTCATATCACTGGGCTATTTTAGATAAAGACTTACTAAGTTCATGTATGTCTGTGTACCACATGTATGACCGGAGGAAGCAAAAGAAGGTGTCAGATCCCCTGGAACTGAAGCTAAGTTCAGTTGTTAGCCATCATAGGGCTGCTGGAAATGGAATCTTGGGTCCCCTGGAAGGGCAGTAGTGCTCTGAACCACTGAGCCATCTCTCCAGCCCTACTTACTCTAAGGCATTAGCTAGAGTTATGGAATAATGAAAGAAGCTATTAGCTGCCACAGTGGCTGTGTGGAACAGTGTATTGAAACCAAAAGATGGAGCTGTCTCAAGTAAAGATATATATGTATGCACCTGTAATTGTACTGCTCAGAGGGCTGAGGCAGGAGGATTGCTGTGAGATTGAGGCCAACCACGGATATACAAGAGCAGAATGAGATACTAATTAAGAAGTCCCGCTGGTAAGTTCTCGTTCCGTTTTTTACAGTAAACCACTTTTCCTAAAGCTGTCTTTTAAAAGGATTTAGCTCATCTCCTTCCCTGATTAGCTGTTCCTCCCTGTTCCTCGAGTACTTGGCAGATACTTGCCCTTTATTCTGCCAATAAGTTGAACTCTTTGAAGTCTTAGCTGTATCGTGTATTTCTAAGTCACCGACCTTTAGAACACTTACTTACAAGTCTTTGTACTTGAATGAGGCCATTTTCACTGGAAATGAATTGGATACAGTGGGTTGGGAGTTATTCCCAGTTATTTTAAGAACACAGACCTTAAACTCCAGCACGTGGGAGTCTGAGATAGGAGGGCTGAGTTCGAGGCCAGCCTAAACTGCATAGTCGTGCCTTACCTTTAAGAATACTAAAAGTTAAAATGCAAAGAGCCTTACCTTACTGCTTTGTATTTGTGTGTTTCATTTACATAGCCAGAAAAATAATAAAAGTTTTAAAAGAAACAGAAACTTCGTTCCATGGTGGCAATTGCCCTCTTGCAAACCTTTGGTAGTAAGTGTTTGCTACAACTACACATCTTTCATTTCTATGTTTTATTTTTAAGGATGTATCAAAAATAGATGTGTTAATTATCTAGCACAGTTTGCTGACCATCAGCCTTAATCAATAGTGCTTATTTGTTGAGAGGGTCTCACTCTGGCCCCGGCTGTCCTAAGCTCCTGGTCCCACCACCTCAGCCTCCT